AAAAACAATGAACAAAAAGAGATTTTGAATTGCACTGTTTTAGACTAATTTGCTTTTAATGTTAAACGTTCTTTCCAATTCTTATGATGTTTTAACACAAATAAGAATTCTGCTTTAATCATTTATGAAGGTTTTTCAATTTTGCAAAATTCTTCAATAAGTTTGAGTGCAGAAACTTCTAAATACAGTTTATTCTTCTGTGCACAAATCTTATCCACCACAAGAAGGCATTTCATTCATCATCTATTCTATTTCTGCATTTAAAAATTTCTAAACAAACTTTTGAATAGGATACCAAACAGATAGGTTTTTTATATAATTGCTTCGCATTCTTTAACTTTTTGTAAATCTACCCAATTTCACAAGAATGTCTTGTTATTAGCAATGTTCATTTATCAAGCAGCGTAAACAAGTGTATTAATAACAAAGTTGGGATACGCAAAAAAAACATTGGAGTTGGATAGCCGAATCTTAAATAGAGTTATTGACTCGTCATTTTATGGATTACATAGAAAATATTTTATCTAGGAATTAAATTTCTGCTTTTGTAGCAGTTTTATTAAATATCTTTCAGTGATAAATCGTAAAACACTTTATGATATTTAGCAGCTGAAAAAAAAGCAAAAATAGCCATAAGAGTTCAGCAGATCTGACAAAAATTGTAAAAATCTAAAAAAAAATGGTCACATTTTTTTTTTTTTGCAAAACTGCGCTGTCGGAATGATCTTCTAAATACTATCAGAAATCTAGATGTTGTATGCAAGTTTTTTAAAGGCTTATTTTTTTAGTACTTTGTGGTATATTCTAATTAAAAAAGAAATTTCTTTGACATTAGACTAAAATATTTGATTCTTTCAACTTATAAATCTATTGTTTTCTATTGTTCGCTCTTAGAGGTGCCATAACCAAAAAAACGTTCTTTACTTATTCTAAATTTCGAATTTTACTTTATTTCACTTTGAGGATTTTAAATTTGTATTTAAAATCTAACTTTAAAATAATGTTAGAATAATAAGAAATATATTGTTACAGCAATTTTTGCTAGATACCTAGCACAAATCTGTTAATTTAGTTATAGCCTTTTGCTGTCTTTTGTGCATTCAAAAGTGGTCTTCATTTTGTATAGGTGACTGCCGAGAAAAGTGGATTATGAAGCACGTAAACGGTGTAATTGAGGATCTGAATTTATATAATTTGAAAGTAGGTTAATAGTTTAGTGTTTAGTATTTAACTAATTTTTTGCTTCTTT